GAGCGCCCTAGTCAGTGTTTTTACTCAATATCATTAATCTATTGGAGTATTGATCCCAGCAGCCCTTTATTAGGGTTTTTGAATGTCTCTTCGTAAAATCTACATATTTTGTTAATTACAGCCCGATGTTTGCCTTATGTCTATTTAATTTGTAGTGTCCAGTGAGCGCCCTACTCAGTGTTTTTACTCAATATCTTTAGTCTATTGGAGTATTGATCCCAGCAGCCCTTTATTAGGGTTTTTGAATGTCTCTTCGTAAAATCTACATATTTTGTTAATTACAGCCCGATGTTTGCCTTATGTCTATTTAATTTGTAGTGTCCAGTGAGCGCCCTACTCAGTGTTTTTACTCAATATCTTTAGTCTATTGGAGTATTGATCCCAGCAGCCCTTTATTAGGGTTTTTGAATGTCTCTTCCTAAAATCTACATATTTTGTTAATTACAGCCCTATGTTTGCCTTATGTCTATTTAATTTGTAGTGTCCAGTGAGCGCCCTACTCAGTGTTTTTACTCAATATCATTAGTCTATTGGAGTATTGAACCCAGCAGCCCTTTATTAGGGTTTTTGAATGTCCTAATTCTGGCATTTTCTGCCAGTGATTTAAGTGCTACCTGTTTGGTTGTATTAGGTCAATAAAATCCTGTAAAATAACTGTAAAAGTGGAAATAATTACAGTTCTCAAACTGAAAAACAATGTGTATAATACATATAGATATACGACTTTTAAATCATACAAAATAGTAACCACAGAGAGGCGTCTATAAATAAACAAAACCGTGAAATTAGAAAATATTTGTGAAGTTTGTTTGAAACGGTATGTACCCAGATCACAAGCAATGACGTGACTACAGTGTCTTATTTGACTGTTTGTTTGTGGGTGTATTATCAAACTTAGTGTAGCCATAATTTATTCCTGACCATGTATACAAAACAGTTCTACGAAAATTTCAGTACAAGTATCCACCGGAGATAGTCCTAATCGTTAGTAGACATTTTTGGGTCCATTTTTTTTTTTCAAACATCGACGAACTGTCTTAGTCCTATAGAATCTTGTGTCCTAGATGTAGAAGCCAGAAGTGAGGTCTAGTTAACTGACCTGTCAAACTCATGACTCACGAGAACTGGGCATCGACAGTAACATAATCCACCTCACAACCGAATGCTTGCCAATTCTATTCTTATTAACGAAAAATATCCAACCAATTCCCGACTTTATAATAACAGTCATTAGTTAGCTATTCAATTGTGTGCTTATTGCTAGAAGTTGCAAGGAAATTTCAACTGTATCCATTTGTGTTATAGTTTAATTTAAATTGTGCAGTATTTGCATGGCTTTAATCGAGATGAGTATCGCCAAACGTCACTTTATAATAGATCGAATGTCACAGATTATCTAGAATAATCTGTTTTATCTGAGTGAAAATATTTTCTGGACATCTTTCATGTCATCAACAGGACAAGGTGCCAAAGTAAACATGGCTTTATCTGATAAATAAAAAAAAAACTTGCTTCCAATTCTAATTGATATTGCCTACTCATATAATAAGTTTAAGCATTAATCACTCTCATTTTATTACATAAAATAAATGTAAGTGTAAAATGAGGTTATATTCATTCAGGTTATAGTCATAAATTATTTTTTCATTCGGCATTTTCCAAGAAGCAGACCAAAGTATAGCAATATACAGTCAAATTAGTTGGAAGCAAAAGTAAATCGAAAGCATTTAAACATAATAAAAAAACGATTAAATACAATAAATAAAGAACTAACGCGTAAATTTTTCATATGCAATATATCATATTATATATAATTGTGAAGTAAAATCTATATATAAATAGAAATATTTTTACAAACTTCTTAACCATTTTTTTTTATTATTTCTCCTATACTATGTACAAAGCTACAACAATCATGATTGATGATGATTATGAAACATGGATTGTATGTTATCAAAAAAGCTATAAAGATTTTTTAGATCGATATTTAAATTATTATTAATTATTGAATTAAACTGCTCATTAGTAGTACTCATTTAAAGGGTATTTCATACCATCCGTGGTGTCTCCGAACAGATATGATATTCCTTCTTAAAAGAACGATTAACTTTTAACATTATGGGCCACAAGCGCTTTTGCCTCCTGAAGTTTTAAAAAAATAATTACGACTAAAAGTCATTAGCACTCTATATTACTATTATAACTTGACCTACAAATGTCAAAGTACATTGTCTTATATGTACGGAATTGGTGTAGGGATGTGAAAAATATGATCGAATATTAAAAATATCGAATAATTTTCAAATATAAATCGTTTTTTTAATCAATGATAATGCTTCAATAAATCCATTATGAATTAATGAATTTACTATTCTTGATTATTTCTGACAGGATATTTTAAACTTGGGACGTATATTCTGTACTATATGTACCTACTTTATAACCACTGTGCACACATTCCTCGCAACATAAACAATTACATTTATAAAATAAATAAATCCAAGTGTTTGAAGAAAACAGAAATATAAACTCTCAATGGTTTGCAAAGAGTGGCATAGTAAAACTTAATAAGCTATTTATTAATTTAATCAACAGCCTAAAAAAATAAGCCTAACAAATCAAACTTCTAGCTTTAAAAATTATGATATTTCCTACCTTTCATCTCCCCTTTCAACCCTCTTTTCTCATTAAAATGTACCCTATGCCGTTTCTCAGGGTCTGGACTATCTGTCTACGAAATTTCATTTAAATCGGTTCAGTAATTATGGCGTGAAAGTGCGACAAACAGACAGAGTAACTTTCGCATTTATAGTAAGGTTGTCACATCACTAAATAGGTGTTTAGCACTATATATGCTAAATTTAGTGATAGAGATATGCTAAATTTAGTTATAGAGACACTAGCCAGCTGGAGTGTCTCCAGTCTATGTTTATGTACTCATTGATAACCTTCTGTCTTAAGTGTGGGAAGCTCTTAATTTAGTATGAAAATGTAGGAGATATGAATCATCCGAGTGTTTATAGACAGTGGTGATGGATGCGACTGTAACGTAATATATAAATAGTGGTAAAAATATAACGTGCAAGTGGTAATAAATGCCCATTTTGTGTAAATGGGTTTGTTTTTTCTTATTCCCACAGATAACCTTATTAAATCATATCAAATGAAATCAAAAATTATTCATTGATGTATGAGGTTTTAGACGCTTATGAACATCAAAATTTTTCAATTGAGAAGAACTGGCAACAATCTCCAATGTTTTTTTGTAATAGCCAGTTTTTTTACATGTCCATGTCTAAGATTAAGTGAAAATTCCGTGTATGTTTTGTATGAACAATGCCTATCAAAATGTAATATCAAAATAGAGATAAAAAAATAAAATTGAAATCTACTACGTTTAGCTCGAATTGACAAATAAATGTCCATTTATAAGGATCTGAATATCCCGAGCACTGTTCAGACTTTACTAAAAAATCAAGAAACATACAAAACAATTTATGAATATATTATCTCTACAGTAGAAGATATTTGAAGAAGGAAAAAAGAAATCAAAATACAGAAATGATACCGAAGACATCAGCTGTATGGGCTTAGACTCTTTGCCTATCCTATATGGATAAGAAAAAAATAATTTAAAAACGGTTTTAATTTAAACTTCGTGTAGGATACACTATATTTTTGCATAATATAAAAAAACCTCTAAGCGAAGCCTTTAGCAGCCTAACACACCGTTTTACTTCCGATGGCTATTATACTCATACCAGTATTACAGATAATATACGATCGTATTATTACTAACATCGCGACTATACAGCTATGACGCGCTCGTCATCCTACTGCGGCTGCGCGCCTTGCAATATTGTGCATCTGTGGCGTATTATGTTTGCGCGGGAAAATAAAAAATACTACAAAATGGCTTCTTTTACAGACTTACTAATTTTCTTGTGTTCTTAATTCATAATTGTTTATACTATTAATTATACCATTAATTATAATATATACAACAAATCTGAATATAAATACAGTCCCCTATTAACTAACAGTAGGCATAAACGATTTGTTAGTTTTAACACACTAACGTAAGTAGATGTTACATATTGTGACGTTGTTATGACGTTATTTGCAATGCAAGTTATCAGAACTGCCAAGAGAGCTAGATGTACTGTAAACACCTCCCATCGTCTAAAAGCAAAACTATTTATGTAACCAACGCAAGTAACTTTAGCCTCAATAATGTACGGAATAATATTTCAACCTTCACGCTATGAATTACGGTCGGCCAAACGCCAGATTGTCTATGATTTGATACCTAATTACTATTTCCGGACAAAAAACAAAGAAATACCAGCGGTTCCTTTTTTAAATTGAGAAAATCGAAGTGACTGAAGACTTCACTATTCGACATATACAGTCACAATGAAACAATTTTATACCTGAACTAGCTGACTCCGCAAATGTTGTTTTGCAATATAAATTAAAATCACTATTCAAAAATAAGGGTTGATGGTAGAATGGTGAGAAGTCAGGGTTATATGTATTTTTAATGCCACGTTATAAAAAAAAAAGAAAATGTCCAAAAAATAAAGAACATATGTTAAGATTGGACAACATTTATCACTTAGGGGTATGAAAAATAGAGAGTAGCCGATTCTCGGACCTACTGAATATGCGTTTCGGAGGAGTCAACTAACATTGTAAGACGAGAATTTTAAATAATACTTCTTCATCATAGTAGCTCTAATCTTTAATTTCAGTTCAATCAGTCGAAAATCTAAGAAGATTTATACAAACTTTCATCACCTATTGTATCCCTTTAGGAGTGGAATTTATCAAAATCCTTTCTTAGGGGATGTCATAGAATCTTTATGCATGCAAAGTCTCAGCCCGATAGATTTAAAATTGACAAAGTTTCATACAAACTTTCATCCCCTATTTTATCCCCTTGGGGATAAAATTAATCAAAATCCTTTCTTAGAGTTAGCCTACATCATAACATCTACCTGCATGCCAAATTTCAGCCCGATCCGTCCAGTGGTTTGGGCCATGCGTTGATAGATCACTATGTCAGTCACCTTTGAATTATATATATTTAGATATAAGGTTTAGGATGATTACAAGGACTCATGATTCTTGTCTATTACCAGATAGTTTAGTACTGGAATCTTTGTTTATTCAAACGTTTGCCAATTTCGTAACATTAATAGATTGTGTTATAATACAAATAAAGAATCTTTATTAAGTGAAACAATTTGCAAATTTAGAAAGGAAACCTAAAACGTAATTTATTCCACTACCTCACAATATCCGCGAGGAGCATCATTTTCATCATCTGCTTCTTCCGTGTCCCATTCATTTGTTTTTCGCTTCAATTGATCCCTGACCACAGTTATCTCGTTATTCACTCATTTTTTTGCTATATCATTCACACTGTCCATTTATCTCTTTTTCGGCCTTCCTCTGCCCTTATAACCATCCACATTCATATGTAACACCTTCTTCAAAATATTCTCTTCATTCCTACGCATTACATGCCTCTTTTCCTACTTCCTCTGATGTATCTATTCTACATCTTATCTCATTGTACGCGTTAACATCCACCGGGGCCATAACATCCAACATCTCCATGAGGAATGTTCTCCAAATAAAGGAAAGGATGTTATATGAATATTTTGCTGGTTTTTTTATGGAAAATTGTCTGAGAACTAGCATTCTATATTCACGAAAAATCATAGTTATTATTGAGCAGTACAGCAAATCCAATATATTTATATAAATAAATAATTGTGATCAGATTCAATAGCATATCACGGTGCTTTCTATGTATATTATATATGTATTTACGAAAAAAAAAAATCTAAGTATTCTGTATAATCAGTTATCTAGTACCCATAACATAAGTTTCAGCTAGCTTAACTTGGGTCTAGATGGTGCTCTGTGAATTGTCCTGAGATTATTATTATTACAGCAGTATAAAATGTATTAATAAGCGTGTGTCTCGTAACTATACTATATAGTTCTTGTCAATGGAGTTATCTAAAATCAGGCAATGTCTCTCCGTCTGCCATTTATACCGGCGCGTCCAGGCCGAGTGAGTCAGAACCGGCACGTATCTATATATACATCCAACGTCACAACGCACTGAGCACCCGGGGTATGACAAATGGAAGCAAATCTGAATTGTGACCTATATTTAGTTGGGTAAACGTAATATGTTAATATGTGCTAGTGGTCACTACCTTCTCTTTAATAGAATTTAAAAATGAATCCGTATCTTCGTAATCATGTACAAGCTCATTTAAAGAAAAAAGAACAAAGTTTCTTGTCAGTTGATCTTAGTTCGAAAGCACTCCGGACTTACGGTGGATTTAACATATAAGAGTCTGTAATAGACCTACATGAATATGACTACAAATATTTAGATATTATGATTTGATTTATCTTGACGCAACACTTTACTTCTTTATTCTTTTACTTTCATAGGTTTTATGTTTCTCGAGGCCCTTTTTTGATTATGGGGTACAGATTAGGGAGTGAAATTACAGGATTACAGGCATGATATTTTAGTCCCCCAGAATGGCAAATCCCTTCCGATCAATCCATCATCCAATTCAAACATTGATCGAAATTATGGTGTCCTCAGAATAAAGTCATATTCGTCAGGAAGGAGTTGGCCTTCAGCCGCTCCATTACTTTGAGTACCATCTGCATTCGTGTTGTTCGGTGAAGCTGTAAAGATCAGCTGCGGCCAACAGCATTAGAATAGTTAAATAAAAAGCAGCATGAGTATCACGGGCGTTACGTGATAACGTGATATCCGTAAGTGCTGTGTATTGGTGACGATTACCACTTACCATCAGGTGGGCCGTCAGTTACTCATCATTTCAATTAAGTACATTAAAATAAAACTGTGGTTTTAGCTTTCCTTACATCATCATCATCTGCTTCTTCCTTAACCCATTTATTCGGGGTCGGCGTAATATGTTTTTCTCTTCCATTCTTCTTTCTTACCATATCATCTTTCACACAGTCCATCCATCTCTTTTTCGGCCTTCCTCTGTAACTATCCACATTCATATATAACACCTACCTTAAAATATTATCTGCAAGCATACGGCCCATCTCATGGCAAATGGTTACCCTAGCCTATGGACGACTGAGATATCAGACCGACCCTTAAGAAACCTTAATATGCCCTTCTTGAAAAGTTACAATCAAAACTAGAATTTAACTAATCAATTGAGGAGGCACAGGTGTCCAGATACTGACTATGACTCAATTTCGGTTCTAGTTAGTATCCTTTTATTATTATTCTAACACTTACCAATAGGTGGGAGGGGATTGTTAGTAATGGGTACTCATGACCCCATTACTAGCAATGTACCATGGTTGACCTCCACGCGGTTCCTCTGGAAACTATCGTGATAAATTCTTGGTGAATTTGCCACGATGGGCTAACTGACCTGATCTCATGTTCATCTTATCATCCCCCACTGGTGCCCAGTCAGTGAAAACCATTAGCGCAGGCGGGTGCACCATTTATCATTATTATTACATAGTATAAAACAAAGTCGCTCTCGCTGTCTGTCCCTATGTTTGCTTAAATCTTTAAAACTGCGTAACGAATTTTTTAATAGATAATGATTCAAGAGGAAGGTTTATATATATAATACATGTACACCCGTGCGAAGCCGGGGTGAGTAGCTATTCATATAAAAATAACACTTAACAATAATACATTGATGACGGTGATCTCGATTCGTATTGGCTGCATCTAAATTGATTGCAACTACAATTTATTTAAATTAATTTGTGTGACTAATATACTACGGTATAGATATAGTGCATAAGCGAAGAGATTTCAATACATATAGTACGTTTTTATCTTTCACCGGACGATAGGGGGCGAGTGCAGATGGCGCTCCAAACCCGCGGAAAGGGGGGGGGGATAGGATTTTAGTAATGCGAACTAATAAACCCATTACTAGCAATGTACCATGTCAGGTTGACCTCCACGCGGTTCCCCCTGGAAACCATCGTGATAAATTCTTGGTGAATTCGTCACGATGGGCTAACTGACCTGACCTCATGCTCATCTTATCATCCTCCACTGGTGCCCCGCCAGCGTAAACCGTTAGCGCAGGCGGATGCACCATTCCATTATCAACCACAAAAAAAAACCTCACGGAAGGACGTATGGAGCGGCATATAGTGCATAAGCAAAGAGGTTTCAATTCATATAGTAAGTTTTTATCTTTTTTTTTTCGGAGTACTCTAATGCTGTTGGCCGCAGCTGGCCTTTACAGCTTCACCAGACGATAGGGGGCGAGTGCAGATGGCACTTCAAACTCATGGAGCGGCACAGTGCATAGGCGAAGAGGTTTCAATTCATATTGTAAGTTTTTATCTTTTTTTTTCGGAGTACTCTAATGCTGTTGGCCGCAGCTGGCCTTTACAGCTTCACCAGACGATAGGGGGCGAGTGCAGATGGCACTCCAAACTCATGGAGCGGCACAGTGCATAGGCGAAGAGGTTTCAATTCATATTGTAAGTTTTTATCTTTTTTTTTTCGGAGTACTCTAATGCTTAATTTCAAACTTTCGTGTTTAATATACATTATTTAAATTATTAACCGGGTCTTAACACGAATAATTTTATGGCAAATAAAAGTATTTACCTCTCTCGACGTTTCGACTAGGTTGCAGTAGCCGTGGTCACGAGGTGACTGGAGTAAGAGAGAGGTAAATACCTTTATTTGCCTTAAAATTATTCGTGTTAAGATCCGGTTAATAATTTAAGTAATACTCTAATGCTGTTGGCCGCGGCTGGTATTTACAGCTTCACCGGACGGTAGGGAGCTAGTGCAGATGGCACTCCAAACCCGCGGAAGGACTTATAAGGACGAATACGACTTTAGTCTGAGGGCACCACTAGGGGTTCGAACCTCGGCTCAGGCCGTCGTAATTTCGATCCCCGGTTGAAATGTCGGGCTTAGACCGGAGGGGACGTTTCTATCGTAGTAAGGGGCTGTACCCACTTTGCATACTTTGTACAAAGTGACTGCCGCTGACGCTGATGACTGATACAGCCGCTAAATAGCTTGGTTTATAATCTGTTACACAAAATAATAATATCCTATAATTCACTGTACTATCTCGTACCAAGCTAAACAGTGCTTACATCGTATATAACAAAGTCGCTGTCGCTGTCTGTCTGTCCCTATGTATGCTTAAATCGTTAAAACTACGCAACGGATTTTGAAGCGGTTTTTTTTTAATAGATAGAGTAATTCAAGAGGAAGGTTTATATATGTAATACATGTACACCCGTGCGAAGCCGGGGCGAGTAGCTGGTAATAATAATAATAATCTCAGGACAATTCACACAGCGCCATCTAGACCCAAGATAGGCTAGCTAAAGCTTGTGTTATGGGTACCAGACAACTAATACAAATACATAGATTTATTTTTTTTCGTAAATACACATATATTATACATAGAAAACACCAAGACCCATACAAACAATCATACTCATGAACACAAATGTTTGTGCCTAGCGGGGAATCGAACCCGCAATTTTCGGAAGTAAGGCGGTGTGCTAAACCACTAGACCATGGAGGCTGTCAAATTTTATGTATATATTTTTTTAAAACATATTATTCGCATATATATACCCGCTACGTTTATACAACGTGTTATGTACCTATGCATCATTAGATATGAACTAGTTGGTAGTTGCCAACCGATGCATTTCTGAAACTGCTATCTAAATTATAAAGGTTATGGTCAAAACTACAATTATAATTATATACCATACTAGCTGTACCCGCGACGTTGTCCGCGTAGAATTTTACTTTATTTTTCTAAAATAAAAGTAGCCTAAGTTACTCCTTATTACATCAGCTACCTGCCAATAAAAGTCCCGTCATAATCGGTCCAGCCATTTCAGAGATTAGCCGTAACAAACAGACAAACAGACACAAATTGTAAAAAATATTTTTTTGGTGTATGTACCCTATTTATATTAATATGTAT